TCTTAAAGGACTCGATTGATGAGTTTTGTATGGGAAACGTTAGGGAAAAGTCAAGAACGTACCTTTTTTTTGGAATCTTTTTTTTTTTTTGGAGATACCAAAAATCGATTGATTAATGGAAATTAATTGGCAGATTTAAACATATTACTTAATATGAAGATTATTGCCGAAAAAGGAAAACGAAATTATTTTGTTGGCAGCATGAAATTCTGCATAATGAGTGGGGTAATGAAGTAAATATGCGTGCATAAGTTTAATGAAACGTCACGTGCATTCGACGACTTTGGCGAAACGATAACCAGTCTTTATGCGGCTTCAAACCCATTGGCCATTTCATTCCACTTAAAGGTTAGGTCAAAGAGAACGTGACAACAGTCGAAAAAGAATCCAAGTTGGAAGACCTTTTTTAATAATGTGTTAAGGCGGAAGATTTCGTTCGCATTATTTTACACCAAATAGAGAAACCTTGCATGACCATTTAACGATGATTAAAACACAAATCACAAATCATGAATCATAAATGAAGGTTATCTTTTAAATTTGTTGGATGGTTCCTAATAGAAAACTTGCGATTAAACCTTCTAGAACTTTAGACGAAGAACCGTTAGGAATTTCGGGAAGAGTTGGCTGAGACCGAAAATAAGCATGAATTGTTGTAACGATCATTGTTAAAAATATTTTTCGTGTAACGTTTCGCAATAAACTGATTGTTGTAAAAAAATGTGGCGTGCGGACGTCAAAAATTCTCTCGATTTTTATTCATTTTTGAAAAAAAAAAAAACACGTAAAAAAAAAAACCTACCGCTCTTTTTAATTTAGCCGACATTTTAGGAAGCACAAAAATGTCTAGAATCAACCTCCTGACCAATTCATGAAATCACCTGTTCAACTTAAACATGTAAATTCAAACAATGGCAAATTTTTTTTCGTTTCTCAAAAAAAAAAATTCCCAGAATCCCCTTTCAAAGAATAAGGGATTTTCCAATCAAATGATGACGCGTGTTTTGTTTTTTTTGTTTTTGTTTTTTTTTATTTTTTCTTTTCAGAAAAAAAAAGAAACGACCAAATTTTTTTTGGTTGAAAGGGTAAGCAATGAACCGAAAAAAAAAAAAAAAAATTTCCTTTAAGTATCAAGTGCATTTAATGTGTTGGGCGTTCATACCTTTTGATCTCTTAAATGTGACCGAATTAGGTATAACACAAAGAAAAAAATTAAGCCGCGCATAAATTGACAATGGACGGCAGGAAAAAAAAATAATTTTTTTTTTTCGTACGGAATGTGAACAATTCAATGTCATTATTCTTTTTTTTTTTTTTTTTTTCCTTCCAATGATAAATTTATTTACTTCCAACCGCTTATTTGTTTATTACTTTGGGGCAGTCCCATAACAGTCAAGGGAAAAAAAAAAAGTTTGAATTGTTCACTGCTTTTGGGACATTGTGGGGTAAATACATTGTTAAGACGCTTAAATGTTCAATGACGATTTGTTCAATCGTAATCGTTCTGCTTACTTGATAAAGTCGAATCTTTTTTTTTTTTTTTTTCATATAAATTCAGGCGGGATGCATTACCACTGCTAAAATATCTAAAAAAACCGTATCGTTTTAATTACGCCGCCAAGTTTCACGCGAAGGTCTTTTCTATGTCAATAGAATTGACCTTCAATAAATCGTCGAACGTTTAACCAAAATGTTTTTTCGCTTACGACTCCGCAGAATGCTTTATAATACACGTTATTTCTTTTCGATTTTACCTTCAAAAAGGGTAAAAAAAACCAATTTTTTTATGTATAATTGAAAATACCGCATCTCACCGAATTCTCCCAGTATAAAATATGACAAAAAAAAAAATTTACCCCACAAAAAAAAAATTTTTTTTTTTTTTTACCCCGCATGTTTTGAATGCTTTCAAAGAAACATCGCGAACAGACCACTTTTATTTTTAACTTTCAAAAAAAAAAAAAATTTATTTAACTTTTATCAAAAAAAAAACGTTCGTAAATTTAAATAATCCAATTCATTTTAAGATACTTTTTTTTTTTTCAGTACAATTAAAAAAAATTAAGATTAGTTCACCTTATTGTTTATTTGTGATTTTATGAAGAGATAAATAAACCCCGGTTACGTAATAGTAATAATAAGAATTAGAATGAAAGTCTATTGATGACATGAAACGGTCTCGTAATATGAGCACAGACAATTAATAATCTTATGCTTTTCAACCAATTTTTTTTTGACTCCACCCACACTTTATGTAAGGAAAGAAAAAAATTTTTTTTTTTTTGTTTCACATTACTTTCATATGAATATCTTTTTTTTTGTTTACTATATCTTACCTCTCATACCATCAATCCATAATTAATTACTCTACTATCTATCATTCATCATTTTTTTTTTTTAAAAAAACAAAAAAGTACTTTTAATGTTGGTTAATGAATCATATGCATGTCACAATAGGCTCTCAAACAAACAAAAACAAACGATTATTCATAAAATCATAATAACAATACAAATCTATGACATTATAAGATTTAGTGTGGTTGGGAAAAAATCATAACTCGTTTTAGATTAGTTCAAAATCTTACAAATTTTAGTGATCCTTGTGATCCTATCTACAAAACAAATATTACTCACCTTTACACACAAAAAAGTAATTGATCAAGTTAATTCGCTCCTCGGATCTCAGTATATTACAAATTAGTTTCTCCCCCCAGAAAAAAAAAAGGTTCTCCCTTGATACCTCTTCGCATTCGAAAATTTCTTTGTCGTAATCAAAAAAAAAAAAATAAAAACAAAAAAAAAAAAAATCGAAAACTGCGGACTCACGTATTACGTATCGTGATTACCTCTGAGAAATTTTAAACGAGTACTTTTTTTTTCCATAACGGCCGTTCAGGTAAGCATACGGCAACACCGATCGTAATCGTAATGATACACGGAATCAAACAAAAAATTAGATTTGGTTTTTTTCCGTGTGATACCTCAAAAACGTACACTTTATTGTAAAAAAATAAAAAAAAAAAAAGTGTACACGTGAACACTACATGCCAAACATTGTTGGTATTCGACAGTATTTCGTGGTAGTGTATGCGTACCTCGTTATCTCGTAGTTCCGTCCTTTTATTCTATTTTATTTTTTTATATTATTATTGTTATTTAGAATTTCATTATTTTTTCCTATTTTTTTTTTTTTTCTTATCCTCTTTTATTTTACACTTTATTCGGTCCGTAAAGCTTTTTTAGAACATTCGTTATTTTTTTTTCTTCTTTCTTTCGTCATGTTCTTTTGGCGTTCCAGAATTCATACACGGCAGTCATAATATATATATATGTGTCTATATTTTTAAATTTCTACGTTTTTATTTTTCCTTTTTTATTTTTATTTTATTTTTTAAAAAAAAGTACAAATGAAAGGGAAAATAATATATATATATATATAAAAAAAATAAAGATGATTCTAAAAAAAAAAAAAAGTTTGTATCTGTGTGCGAATCGATTTTCCTTCTTCTTCCTTCAAACGTTTTGGAAGAAGGGATTTTTATTTCGCTCAAAAAATTTTAATAATAAAGTGTTACAAAAAATATATTTTTTTAACAAATTGTTGGTTTTTTTTTTTTTTTTTTTGATGAAAAAAAGATAAAAAAAGATTGAAAAAATTTACATAAAAACACTGTACATGATTTTTTAATTTTGTATAGACACTATATAAAAGGTAATGAAATATATACATATAAACATAAAGACGCGTCAAAGGTTTTTTTTTTTTTTTTGATGAAATATAAAGTTTTTTTTTTTTTTCATGTCTATATTTTATTTGAATTTTATTTATTTTTTTTTTTTTAAAATTTAAAAAAAAAAAGGGAAAAAAAAAGAGAATGAAGTAAAAGTTTTTTTTTCTTTTTTAAAAAAATGAAAATAAATTCATAGATAATTTTTTATAAATGTTTAAATGATAATGGTAAATTTTTTTTGGTTGTTCTATAATATTTACATAGCATGAAAAATGTTTCATGTTTCATATTTACATATATATATATAGAGAAAAGAAAATCTTAAATGTTTTTGATTAATAAAAGAATTTTTTCAAATGAAATAAATTCGATAAACGTGACTTTTTTGTGTTAGAAAAAAAAAAGAAGAGAATTTTTATATATGCATATATACACACCTAACAACATATGAACCTTTTTTTTTTTTTAAAAAAAAAAGTAAAGTAAAAAAAAGGTAAAAAAAAGTAAAAATAATAATAAAAAAAACTTAATTTTTAATCCCAAACCCTCCCTCTCTTTCCTTGAAACATATGATGTCATAATAAAAAAAAAAAGTTTAAAATAAGAATAATAAAGAAAGAGGGCTTGGTTTTTGCTTTATATATATATAAGGGTGAAATATCTAACTATAAAAAATATGTACAATGTGAAAAACTTCAAAAAGATTTTCAAAAATTTTTTTTTTTTTTTTTCAAAAAAAAAAAAAAAAAAGAATGTTCTATGTAAAAAAATATCATACAGGATGTGATTTTGTATACAAGTATATGTAACATAAAATCATTATATCATGAATTGAAAAAAAAAAGAAAGACTGCCGGTAAGATCTACGCATGTTTTAAAAAAAAAAAAAGTTCTGTCGTTCTAGTTGACGACACACTTTTTTTTTGCCCACCCATCCAAAGATAAAAAAAAAAATTTTTCGTTGTTGTAAAATGAAGATTTAAAGGAAAAAGAATGAAAAAAGTGTAAGACAAGAGAAAATAAAAAAAAAGAAATAAAAAATATCGATGTAAAATAGTAAAATCGCAATCGTAATAAAAAAAATATTTTGAGCGTTAATAAAGAAAAAAAAAATACTTCAAAAAATAAGAAATACTTTTTTCTCTTTTATCCTTAAACGGGGTTTAAAAACCGAATATAATAAAGCAAATCATAAACCATTCGACACGTTATACTACGAAGTTTTTGCATTTTTTTTTTTTCATACAGCGTTCTAACGCCGTAATACCTCTAATAACGAACCGGGGGTAAAAAGGCCGACCGATTAAAGTCAAAGCCATAATTTGAATGATTATTTGATGACACGGAAGTCGTCGAAACAGCAGTAGACGAACTGGTGCTGCCATTGCCGGTGAGAGGTGGAAGAGTTCTGACTCTTGGTGAGAAAGTTGGGTCATTCACAATGTCGGATATACGGTTACTCGCTAATATAGGGGCGGAATTGTTAAAATTTGCCGTATAATTCTGAAAATCATTCTGTTTCCATTGGTGAAAGTTATTCGCGGTCATACCACCACTGTAAACCGGGATGAAATTATTGTTAAAGTTTGAAGAGTTGGAAAAGGTGTCCGACCCAACCACATGAGGACCCAAGGAAGGGGAGTGCTCAGGCGAGTGAACGGGGGTAAAGATCTCATCCTCATCGGAACCGCTATCATGACAGACTTGAGACGAATTGGACTGAGCGTCAAAAGATATGGCGGATAATTGAGGGCTCAACATCATGTATTCTGGCTCCGAGTTTCTACGTCTCTTGGTAGTTGTTTCTAACGAGGCGTAATCATGAAGCAGGGAATGATGCAGCACGCGAGAGGAATAATAATTGGTCGAATATGTCGATGCCATAGGGGCATGGATTTGATGACTATTATTGACGGAACTTAACAAGCTAACGCTCATGTTACTGCCAACACTCGAAGAACTCGAGGAACTGATGGTACTACTATCACTATTACTCCTGCTTCTAAATCTATCCGGAAACATTCCAATCCCAAAGTCCTCCTCATCATCATATGGTCGACTCGGATCGAAACGAGGGGTTGGAAGGTTGCTTTTAAAGTCCATCCCATTCATTTTTTGGGTTTTACGCTTATCCCTTTTATTGGTATTCGTATGAATGCGTCGGTGACGAGTCAGCTCATCGGATCTCGAAAAGCGTTTCTCGCATCCTGGAAAATCACAACGGTGAGGTTTTTCACCGGTATGCGTTCGAATATGACGTGTTTGATGCTCCAGCCTGTAGAAGGCCTTATGACACATGGTGCATTTGTAAGGACGAGGAACATTCGACTTGTCAACGTTCGAATGGGTCCTCTTTTTGGGGGAATTGGTGGTAACGTTAACGTTTGATGCAGTTACGTTGTTATTCGTGAAATTACGATATTGATTTCCATCATATAAATGGGCATGCGGGGTGAAAATGGTGGGATTCTGAACAGTAGTTGGATGCAAGATGTTTTTCAAAGCGGCTGCCATTCTTGTAACACCGTGTATAAGAGAAAAAAATTTGAAATTCGTAAAAGAGGAGGAGAGGAGAAAAAAAAAGGAAATTCTTTTTCCAAAAAAAAAAAAAAAATAAGCGAGATTTTTGAGGGAATAGTTTTTTTTTTAAACGATGGTTAATGAAAAGGAAAAAAAAAAAATTTCAAAGTTATATGTGTGACGATAAATTGAAAAAGTAATTTAAAAAGGCCAAAGTAAAAAGGAAGGAACTCTTTACTTTGTGAATGGAAAAACAAAACAAAATAATATAACAATTTGAATATAATTCGTATTAGTATGTAGGGTGGCAGAATACACTGAAGAGAGAGAGAAGATGGGAAAGGGCGAGAAATTGGTTTCTTATATGAATTTTTCAATATAAATAACATACTGAACATCATTTTTCACATGAAGCGCTGTCAATAGAAAAAAAAAATATATACAGTAAAAAAAAAAAAAAAAAAAAAAAGTTATTTGTGCATTTTTTTTTTTTATATTAAATGCCAGTATATTGTACTATTGTATTCAAAAGTCATATGAAACTGCCTAAAATGACTAGTTTAATTACACATAAATTCATCGATGGTTTTTTTTAAGATGTCACCAAAAAAATATGATAGTTCATATCCCAATATCACAACCATTAAAGTAGTACCCCAAGCTTACAAAAGGTAATGGGTAACCCACGTTTGTCTTTACGGACCTTGAGACGGGAATATTCGGAACCACGAGGGAATGGCCCTAAACCTGTTGTGGACGTGACAAGTGGAGGGATGTTTTTGAACAAAGAGGTGACGATGTGAGGGAAAATGAAATCCACGTTTTTTTTCCCAAACCGGAGGGAGTTAGAGAAGTGAACAGAAAAAAAAAAAAAATTTTTTTAATTATACGACATGTGAAATAGGAATGATTAACCTATCAATTATTCTTCCATAATGAACAAAACAAAATAGATTTGTTTGATATGACAAGAAAATAAACATGATTATGGATTGTAAATTGTAATAAACAATCAAAAATTCTATACGATTATGTGTAGATCAATCATGTCATAATTAATTTATCAAGACATTTCGCCACCACTATTTTGACAGCGAAGTAATTATGTACGTTTAGGGTTAATTGTACCCAGCAAAAATCGTCCTATTGGACGATCTTTATTAAAAAAGAATAATGTCTGAACAAAGGAAGTTATATGAATCACCCCCACTTTAAATCCCCACAAAAAAATCAAAAAATTATCTAATTTGGTTCTCAAACAACGTGACCTAACCTTAGGATATCCGAAATACGTCTGAGTGATATTCTGCGGTTGGTAAATCCCTCTAACTTTGGTTATTTTTCTCAACTCCGGTTTATAACATTTACTCACACGCGCTTTTTGTTCATATACACGAGGTAATACACATTTGCATTTTCTCACATATTTTTAAACGGTACATTAGGAAAATTTCAAATATCAATCTTTTTTTTAAAAAAAAATAGTTTTTTTTTTATTTTTTTTTTTTTGAATTTTTAATAATTGTTTGTATAAGGTTCCTTATCATACAAACAAAGCCGCATGATTAAGGATTTCGAAAAACTTTAATAAAAAGATCAGATGGATTAGATTAGGCAGGCGCTGTCCAATCAAATTTGACTCACATGATCAGTTCACATGATCTCCACGCGCAGAAAACTCCTCCTCTTTGTAAAAAAAAACTTGTTTGTAACCCACAGAGGGATCATTTCCGTTAGGGGATGAACTTTATTTGCGTATTGTGAAATTATTTATTTAATGTGGTGGAATGAAGAGAAAAAAAAAATAAAACATAACAAAACAAAACTTTGGTCAGATGATTTTTCTTTTTAAAGAAAAAAACAAAAAAGATAACATTAATCATCGACAAGCAATATCAGAAAACATTCCATTAATTCATTGGATTTTCGCATTTTTGAAATGTAATTGGATGTTTATAACCAAATATGGATTAGTATTGATTTTGACAGTTTTTTTAATGGGGTTAATTTGAGATGAATCCCGAGTTGGGGGAAAAAAATTTTTTTTTAAATTAGAATATTTTAAAATAAAAAAAAACAGGTTTGGTTACAAGTAAAGGTTGAAGGTTAATTTCTGGTCCAATTATTTTAAAAAAATATATAAATCCCGTTTTTTTTTACGTCTCTACTTTCTTATCTTTTTTTATTTTTTTTTTCTAAAAAGAGGTTGAAAGAGCAAAGAGTTTAAAAAAAAATGATATGAATTGAGTTGATTATTTAAGGAGTCAAATAGGAGTAAAATTGATTAATAATTTTGACAGGTTTGTAATACAAACTACAAAAAAAAAAAAAAATTTTTTTTTTTCAATTTTTTATTTTTTTTTTTTTGACATTTTTATAAATTAATAATAATAATAATAATAATAATCATAATAATAATCATAATAATTACATATAAAAAAAAAAAAAAAAAGGTACCTCTCAGGTTACAATTTAAAACGCGGGAATTTAAAGAATTTAAAGTTTTTTTATTTTCGTTTAAAAAGGTCTTTATACTCGAAAGAAAGAAAAAAAAACAATTCACATTATTCTTTTTTTTTTATAATAAGGTAATAGAAAAACTGTCAAAAAGAATTACAATTGAAATGTCGATAACAAAGGAAAAAAAAAAAATTCAACTAGGAACAAATGGAGAAATAGCATGGAAGGTTTTGTATTATCACAATACGAGACCAAAAAAAATTATTTATATATCATACAATTTTTGTACACGTTGTTTAACACATGGCACATGCATAATCAACTATCAATTAATCTAAGAACAATAGGCACAAATTAAGCCATCATAACAAGTCGAATGATGCAAGGAAAAGGTGGTACGACCAAACTTTTAAGTGCGGCAAAACTCAATTTATTTATCAGTCAAGGGAAGCATGTGATTTCAAGTAATGATAAGTAATAAATAAATTATTTTATATGCAGTTTGCAGTTGTTCTTTGTAAGAAAAAAAAATTTTTTTTTTTCGCGTGGTTGATCTTTTTGTTTGTGACTGATGGCCTGTCAATTTTATTTTCTTTTTTTATATGTTATTATATTTATTTCTCTTGACAAATTATGTAAGCGTAGTCCCGGTACTTTTTTTTTTTTTTAAAAAAGAAAAAAATTTCTCACGAAAGGGAACGCTAACATTTGAGTCCATTGTGCATTTTAAATTTTATCCGGAATCGTGCTTTGTATGCTATTCAAAAGTGTACCCTGGAGGACAATAACATCATAATGGCCCCAGAATCTCGCAGCAATCTATCCCATTTATAAACAAACATCGTACTTCATGTAAACATTTCATTATTTTCTTCATTATTACGAAAACAAAAGAGAAAAGTTTCCCCTTATTTACCACAACAAATGCAATCAGATTTGAGATTGTTTGACTTGACAGCTTTTTATGAACAAAAGGAGAATATATCACAAACAAGATGACCGTACCCTTGTGATATACCAGGTAAATAAATAATCCATTTCATTGATATGCAGGGTCCAAATATATACACTCCACGAATTTTAATATTGAATGAATGCAACACAAACAAAAAAAACCAGTTTTTTTTTTTTCTTCTATTCAAATTTCACATGGAATACAAGTTTACTTTATACTTACATCAACCCAATAAAGATCACATAATAAGTCTAGTTAATTTTATTCGATTTCGGTGATTTCAAAAATTTGTGATTTGGGGACAATGAAGGATTAAAATAACGTAGCCAAATGACATCAAATTCATGACGTTAAAAGAAAATCCATAACAATAAAAACCATATCGCATATTCACAATGTATTCAAGTAACAAATTCCCCTTAAATGGATTAGCGTTCTTTCAACCCATACTAGATTTGGTTTCAAATATTTTTTTTTTTTTTTCCTTCCTGTGCCTACCCTGCAAACTAGTTTTACCACGCCCTCTTTTTTTTTTTTTTTTTTTTTTTTTTTTTTTTTCTTTTTCTCATCATGATATGAAGATAATTTCTTTGTTCTATTAATCTCCGAATTTATCTTTACACGTTGTTTCATGTCGCAACCTTTAAGAAACTGAAAATAATAATAAAATGACAATTTTTAGAAACACCGAGTTAATAATATGTTTATTATGTACACATGTTTTCTCGTTTTTGGTCATATTAAAAAGATTAAAATTAAAAATACGTTTTTTTGTACTCTGATTGTTTGGCATTTACCGTATCTGTTATTGTTGGCATTTATTGTTTTCACAATTTTTTATTGTTGCCCAACAATACCCCTCCTTATACTTGAGACAAAAGAAGATAAAATAAAATAAAATAAAAAATAATAGAAAAAAAAAAAAAAAAATGGTTTTCCCCGCCCAAAAAAAATAACTTTTTTTTAATTGTTCCCTTGGTACATTTTTCAAGAAAAAACTTTTTTTTAAGGATTTCAAGAAAAACCTTAATTCGGGTTCTAGATTCCTAGAAATATATTTTTTTTTTTTTTTATTTTTTTTCCTTTAAAAAAAAAAAGTGTCGCTATTTTTAATTCCTGGTCAAATGTTACCCGTGTCATAATTTGGCCGAGATTTGAATCGGCGCAGCTTATCTAATGTTAATCATGCTCTCAGATCAAATTCCGATTTACTGTATAAGAATTTTTTTTTTTCGTATTGGGACGCGCTTTATTTTTTTTTGTTTTTTTTTTCTTTTAAAACCACAATCGCATACATTTTGTTGCTTGTATCCAAAAATGGATTGTTAAATTAGTTTTTCACGAGAGCCTGCCTGAATGAAAATGTGGGAAAAAATCGCAGCTCACGTGGATCCGGGATGATTTTAAATCTTAAAATGTGTTAAAATTATGTGCTGTACGGGTGGTCCGCAGGAAACATTCACGCGCAAAAATTATTTTTTTTTAATCAACATAAATAAAATAAAATAAGATCAATTATTAAAAAAAAAAAAAAAAAAAAAAATAAATTCCCCCAAAAAAAGGAACCCAAGGTCGTCCGAGAATTTTTTTTTATTCATTTCTTTTTTTGATTGATTACAAATGTTAGATTTCATGTGCTGTACATGTCAAAAATTGATTAATTCATTCATGAAAAGAGGGCGCCATTTTTATTTATTTATTTATTTATTTACTTTTGGATTGAAATGATATCATGATACTTTTTGTATCTCAAGTATGAGAACTATGAGAACCGAGTGGTTGCCTGCATGTAAGAAAAGAAATCATGGTGACATGAGAAAAACTTATCTTGCCCGGAAAACCCTTTTTTAAAAATGTATAATGACATCGATGTGTAATTGTAATTTAAAAAGACAACGATCATTGACTAATAAACACATTTGGTGTTTCTTTTTTTTTTCAATTGTTCGTGATGTTAATGCTAGGAAGATGCCTGTTGTAGATGATTAGGGTAAATCTTGAATTAAAAAGAGAAAGAAAAAAAGAAATTGGATTATGTGTAAATCATATCATAAATTTTTCCGTGTTATAAAAGGCGAAAAGCGGGGAACATTAGGTGAAACGGGACAACAATGACCTAATGATAATTACATAAACCTAACAGATTTACTTATCAAAAATGAATCTTTACCTAAATTCAATTAATTTCAATTTTATCATAAATGATTGATATACACTAATTGGGGTAATTATTTGGATGGGGAAACCTTAACTTACTGAAGGTGGGCAAAAGAGCATTGAAGGCGAAAAAAAAATTATATCATGAAATCGCACGTTATCATAATTATTAATTTCATGTGTTGATACATGCATTCAGTCATCTCATTTGAGCCTCGAGTTGGGCGAAAATGTACGTGCACCCACCAAATCTTTCTTTCATATTGATTAAAATGAAAGAGGGACGTGGCAAATAAATTTTTTTTTTTTTTTTAAAAAACCACAAATTTCTTTGTTTAAATCTCGGATAATCATTTAACTATATAAAGCAATTTGTCAAGTTGAACTAAATGGTTGAATCATGTATATAAGTAAAAATGACGATGATGTGTATCATATGCGCGTGCGCCACGAAAAAAAAAAAAATTTTTTTTCTCAATGTGGTCTGAAATCGAAAGACCAGGTAGGGTCACTTTGCCTAAAACAGTCATTTTTTATTTTATTTTATTTGCTCATTAAAGGACCGATTAAGAAGAACATTTTGAACTTTTCTTTGTTGCCTGCGCAATAATGCAAATGGCGAAATGGTGGTATCAACGTGCAAATTGTCTACCAATCACGTGAATCTCCTATATTTTTAGAAATTACGATAATTCCTGGTAGAAATCCCTCGATTTATTTATAACTCATAAAGTACGCATTAATCTTTTTCAACGTTGCTCTCGTCGGATTCGCCTGGAAGGTCGCGAAAAAAAAGACCACATGATTAATAAAAAATGTTGAATGAACATACATGCATCTTTATCAAAAAGAAGTCACGTTTACCTTTGCTCTAAAAGAAGTGATATATAAAAGTTTATTTTGAATAAGTTCTTTAGTGACTTCTGTAAAAAAAAAAAAAAAAAGAGGTTACGGTAACGTTATGGATGGTTTAGATAGGTTTGGGATCAATCTACCACTTACTTTGATGGTCGATTCCATCCCTAATAAAATTTCCTATAATTATTTGAACAAACTTTTTTAAATCGATAGATAATAATACAATCAATGAATAATTAATGAAAGTGTTACCTTTGCCATCAAAATATTTTACCAAAACGGCCAATGCAATTCCACAACTTCTATCAATACTGGATCAACGAGATATTTTTAGCTTTTTTGGGTTTGGGGGAAAAAGAAAATCTCTTAAACCATACTCATTTCCATGATGTAGAAGCTTACCCCTGTTTACAATGAATCAATATTTTCTTCTTTTCTTCCAATGGTCCTCTAATAAATTCTAAGGCAATAGAAATGCTTGAATAGAAAACGTTTTGTCCTTTCTTGCCTTCAGGTATTGGTAATTGTAAATAATTTGGTGACGCTTCATTAGAGATGTATGTTTCTGGTGTACAGTTTATGATGCAATCAAAATTCTTCCAGCATTCAGGTGGAAATGCTATAAATAATTTAGTCTATAAAATTTTTTCTTTACTTTTTTTTTTTTTTTTTGATTTGATTTAATAATACATTACCACTTTTATAATTTCCAATTGCGATGTTTGTGTTTCCTATAAAGATAAATGAATCATTTGAGAGGTCCGAATGATTTGGTTTTAACAATTCGGAATTGGCGTTCTTTTCTCGTTGGATGACATCCAAAACGGTTCTTTCACATTCAACAGGATTACTTTCATTCAATATTTCCTTGTGATATTTCCAAAACAAGGCGGAAGTCAATCCCTAAATATAACAAAAAATAATAAAATTGTATGAAAGTGCCACATCAAAAACCCCCCCCCCCCCCCAGTAAGATCCTAAAAACGCGCGTTAATTACCCTCGCCCACATTTCATGATCATCTGCTGACCCTTGCACGTAAAGGAACCCTTTCCTTCTTTCGACTCCGGATTTAACCATTTGTGACGCGCATACACAGATTAAGGGATGAAATGACATTTTGGTGTAATCTGGTAAGCCGTGTACAAATATATTTGACGATGGGGTAAACCAAAGTGGTCGAAGGGGTTTTCTTAACTTGTTCGAAAGTGATCTCATGTCAAAACCGGAATTCTAACGCATGGAAAGGTTTTAGTGAATCGTAGAAGAAAGAGAAAGGAATGTACAAAGTTTGTTTCTTACGAGAAGGTTTTGGGTAAATCGAGGTATTAACGAAACGATTTGATCATGTTCGGATCTTGAGATTAATGATGGAAGTGAATGAAATTCCGTGTCCCATACTGACTCCGATATATCCTCATCAGATGTAACAGAATCCCGAAATTTCTTGATCGCGTTATTGATGGTACAACACCAGATTGGTATCGTCTTTGATTGCGAATCAGGAATTCTTTTGCCACTGCGTGTCGAATCCACTATCATACATCTTTAGAAAGCGATCGCGCATTCAAATGATTAGCATATATCGATATCCTTTAGTGGTAGATCATGTGTGATGAAGAATGACTCACCCACCATGTTTTGCGATTATGTTAAAGAGATGAGCGTTTAACCTGCGTAGGTTGAACGCCCATTTTCCAGTATGACCATCGGTGGATTTGAAATAGACCGTTTGTGGACATAACTTTCAAATAAAAGTTCATTAAATTTGGTATAACGAGATGTTGGATCGAACGAAATGTTTAAAAGGAAGGTTACTTTTTCTGGATCCACATACCAGGTACCACACCTTTCATTTGCTAAGAATTAATTTACCCCCCAAAAAATTAGCAAGCATGCTTTGGGAGGTAATTATTTATTTCATTTCATTTATTTTTTTTTTTTTTTTTTCAAAAAAAAATACCTATGACGGGTAAGTATGGTATCAAGTCCGATATATCGCTAACAAAATTTGCGTCTTCGGAGATTGATTTTAATCTATTGTATCTGGTAAATCGGAACATTTAATTCATTGATAAACATTATTAATCGAAAAAATTGAAATGGAATAAATCAATTACATGTTTTTCGAATCTTTTCGAACTTGTTCAATAATGTTGTCAGGGACATCAAGGATTGAATTATCGAAAGATACAGACATTTTTTTTTTAAAAAAAAGATTTGGCCTCAACCATTAATCAATTAAAAATTTACCAACTTTGACTAAAAGCAAATTTCCAGTGACATCATCGACTCCCAAAGATCAGGTGATACAGAATACACCAGTAAATTATCCGAGAAGATAGAAATTAAAATAAATCATTTAATGTTCAGAATATGGATTACTTTATTTTTTTTTTTTCAATTTCAATTTTGCTGTAACAGATAACATATTTACAGCTACAATATATTTTAATTACTTTTGACAAAAGTTTTTTTTTTTTATATCTTATGAATCATTTTTCAGAAATCGTTAAATAAAAAAGGTCACGTTTTTTCCTTAATATTAGTTACAACAGATGCATTAAAAAAAAAGGTCTAATTCTTTTATTCTTCTTCTTCTTCATCTCCTTCGTTGCTAATATTAAAGTATCGTATTTCATACGAGTTCTATCGGGTTAAAAGAAGGAAACATCGAATTAATACCTTGTGTTCAAGAGAGAGAAAATAAAAATAAAATAAATCAAAAAGGTTAACTTACCGGATCTGTAGCAACAACACGTAACCAATCTCGAATACGATGCTTTTTCATGAATTTCTTGGTAAGATATTTCATGTATCGTTTAGAAAAAACATGACTATTGGTTGTAACTGTAATCTTGTGATCATCGCTGCGAGTTATAGTAACCACCTCTCCTAATTGGCCCACACGACCATTAATTTTTACTCTATCATGAAGGAATTTTTCCTAAAAATCATTAAATTACGTATAGATTTAGATTTTTTTTTTTTCTGAAAAAAAAATAAAAATAAAAATAAAATAATTATAATAAAAAAAAAAAAAAGAAAAGACGCACAAAAGCCGAAGAGTCAAAAATTTTGTCTCGGGAAGGACCCGAAGCGTCAATTATATATTTTTGTTTCTGAACCACTTTTTTGTTGGCTTTCGCCGAACCACCTTTTGCCTATATATATAAAAGTTATATCAGATCAAATTTTTTTTTTTTGTTAGCAAAATGAATTTGTTCCTTTTGAAATTGATTTACATTTAAAAATTAAAAATTTTATCTGACGGATTATACTTACGCTTGTAGTAGTCATTGATTTGAAGCTATTAATCGCTCAAGATTTAATCCAAACCTCGTTAAGTCGAGATCTTTTTGGAAGAGGAGGAACCCAAAAAAATTTTTTAATTAATTCGGTTATATACGATTTCAATGATTCATTTTGATTGGTCTGCTTTGTTACCATGTTACACATTTTCCTAATACAAAATTAAGAGCGATAATCAAATCAACCACCCTTTATTTAAGTGTACAAAAAAAAATTCAAAACTAAAAGAAATCCTTTTTTTTTTTTTTTTTTGATAGTAATTAACGATTTAGCAATAATGTCCGATTCTGAGTTTGCGATCCCTGAAGAAATTAATTCTACTACTTTTGACCGTTACCAGACTCTTCTTTACAGATCATTAATCAACATTAGCGCAAAACGTAATAATGAATTACCCTCTAAAGAAGTTCCATTTTATCGAATGATTGATCCAACAGCAGCGCAAAAAATGGACCAACTTTCAGGAAGAATTTTACCAAGGATAAATCAAATGATTTCCACCGTTGATTTACCTGGTTCTGAAGGTTTTTGTGAGATTACCGAGGCCGAAGATGTCGATTCATGGAGTAAAGATTTTGTTTCCTTAGTAGATTCCCTTATTGACGGAGTTGTAAGTTCTGTGTTCTTTCATTTGTTGACTTGTCTGGTTGAGGTTTAGGTTTGGTTACTTATTTACACCTTGCATTGTCTCGTCTAGAATGTTTCATTGGATGAATTCAGTGGTCGAACCAAAAAAATCTCGGCTACGATAAATAAATCCAAGCCGGTCGTTGCGGAGATTTCAAATGTATGTGTCATTTATATAATTGCGTTTTGGTTCGAGCTTTGTTTTCTTTTTCTTTTTATTCGGTCCGAACGATTTTGATAAATCTTGTTTAAAATATTCACCCAATAAATGGTCAATTGATCTATCAAAGAACAAATCGGACCTTCGATGTCTATATGCCAGCACCATTAGTCGCCCTCAATTGAATTTTAAGGAAAAGGTCGACAATACTTCTGCACCCTTTATTCCAAAACTTGTTGAGAAACCAAATGCCATGATCCCATTAGATGTGAATGTATTGTCGTAAGTACATTGATTCGTCTTACGATAAAAAAGTTTTTGATTAAGCATTTAGTTTATTGTGTTAATTCTGCGCGTCTTATTCTAGGTATCAACATCCTTACGAGTGTGAGATCAAAAATATTGTTTATCCAGCTTTTATGTTTGAGGATAGGGAACCAATACTGTCTAAGCGCATCGTGAGTTCACCTTTCATCTGGGTGGATACGCTGGAAGAATTAACGGCAATGTGCGAAAAGTTGGAGGATGCTAATGAGATTGCAGTGGATTTAGAGGTACGTAAGAATTTTTCGATCAGTCTTTTTTATAACTGATCATTAACCCGAGTCCGTCGTTTTCATACTATTTGTAGCACCATCACTATCGTTCATATCAAGGGTTTACTTGTTTGATACAAATAAGTACAAGAAGAGAAGACTTTGTTGTTGATGCTTTAGCTTTGAGAGATTCTTTACAAATGTTGAATCATACCTTTACCAATCCGAACATATTGAAGGTATTTTTTTTTAGTAATTTATTAATGAATCCCTTGAGGAAACTTATGCTAATGATGATGTGTGTCTTGCAGGTATTCCATGGTGCGGATTCCGATATTGTTTGGCTACAAAAAGATTTTAGTGTTTATGTTGTCAACTTGTTTGATACATTTCGAGCTGCCTCTGTATTGGGTAATATTTATTATTCGGGATTCATATGAGCACGAGGTTCAAATATATATATTATTTTTCCTAGAATCTAAGCACCTTTTTTTTTCCGAATAGACTTCCCACAAAAATCATTGGCATATTTGTTGAAACATTACTGTGATTATGAAACTGATAAGAAATATCAATTAGAGGATTGGAGAATTAGGTATGTAATGGTTCCACGTAGGATAATCTTCCAAGAGGATCATTTCGGAATATACTAAAATCTACCGAAAAATTCATTTAGACCTATCCCAGAGGAGATGTTAAATTATGCTCGTGCGGATACACATTATTTATTGTATATTTATGACAGAATGCGAAACGAGTTAATTACAAGGTCCGATCCAACGACTTTGAATCTTTTAAGGGTTGTACTTGAACGATCCGCTGAGACCTCGTTAAAGATGTATAGTAAATTGGAATATAGTGAGGATGGAGAAGGAATTGGTGGTTACAAGAGGCTTCAGGCAAGAAAGAACAAATCATTCGATTACCAACAAGTAAGTTTATAATTAAATAATGGTCTCCTTTTTTTTTTATAGGATCAAGTTATGTTGACGCGTAATTTTTATTTTTCCAGCTGGCAGTATTTAAGGTCCTTCATGCTTGGCGTGATCGAATTGCAAGAGAGGAAGATGAGAGCACCGGGTGAGTAATACTGTGATTAAAACAATTTCCCTCTGTCGAGAGTCGGGCATATGAAATTCACCAAAAAAATTTTTTCTCTTTTTAGTTATGTGTTACCAAATGAGATGCTAATGACCTTGTCTGAAAAGATGCCAGATGACCCTAAAGAAATTTCCTCTTGTTTTAAAACGGGCGTTCCTTCATTCGTTAGAATGAATATTCTTGAACTGGCGAGGTTAATTAAAGATGCGAGAAATAGTGCAATCATGCCCACAAACATACCTACAAACATACCTTCATCGTTTTCTACATCCACAGAAAATAATGTGATAACCGAAAAGGTGGAACTGGTCGTGGACGAGGACGAGGACGTGGACATGGAATTGGACATGGGCGAAGACGTGGTCGTGATCGAACCTACAGGTAAATATTTTATTTGGTGGTACTTTAATTTTTTTTTTTTGCACGCGTGCTGATTAATGTATTTTCGTTTAGTTAAACCTGTACCGATGGAAATGGAAAGGGATTATTCTCTATTAGAAACTCCATTTGTTAAAGATGTTTCTAAATACAAATCAAATTCTTCGATGTTATTTAGAGATTATCTCGATGAGGTTTAATTTTATTACTGCTTTGCTAACATAATATTAGGTTTGCTTTCTAATATTTAACGGACCTACATGTTTTATCAGCCCGTAGCTCAAGATGACAATCTGAAGAAGAAGGCTCTCGACATAACTTCATCCCTTTCGTTTTCATTACCGGTTCCCAAGTTTATCAATTATTTGAATAATCCAAACTCGAATTCATCACAATCGAACGGTTCCCAACCTCCTAATGAAGTCTTATTTACTCCCGCGACACAAAGAACTACGAAGACTCAGGATACGGATCTTGTTCGCAGTAGTTCCAAAGGAAAGGAACGCGAAATAGTAAACGTTTCCAACGATTCTAAGAAACGTCGGTTGCCTGAGATGGTCGAGGAGGACGTGGAGGGGTTAGAACCCACAAACGTGGAACCCATAATCGTTGACGTCGATCCTCGTCGGGATGACATTAGTGAGCGAAATAAAATGAACCCCGATAATGGAATGGCGAGACATGGTATTGTTTTTATAATCAGGATTGAGATAAAGTTTGAATGATTAAAATAAAAAATTTGATTGTATAGAAGTGAGTCCTTCGAGTTCTTCGATAAATGCAGACGTTGCTCAAAATAAACAAGCCAGCACAAAAAAAAGGAAGAGAAATAATAAACGAGTCAAGATGATGAAAGGTAAGGTAATGCAATTAGTACCATTTCATCTTCATTTCAAATTGTTTTGTTTTATTTATTAACAATGTACTTTTGTAATGGTTATCTAGATTTTGGTTTAACTCAAGTAACTGGTATATTTACTATAACTTTGGGAGAGTTTATATATAATATAAAGCAACACAATTCATCTCCAAAGTTTTGATGATTGTTTTTTAAAAAAACTTTTCAATAATTTAGGAACGAATGGAGTGGAGTTAGGTAGTAGAAGGAAAGTGGTTACGATGGTGGATCACACAGAATTACCACAAACCGTGACATCTGGACTTTCGACTAGTTCTTCAACATCGATTTCTGTCGATACATCGACTAGAAATACAATGAGAACAGTGGAAACAATTAGACAAAGCACAAATTCCGTTCAAACTCGTTTGTATAATTCTATTACATAACTAATCACGCATAACGCATTTTGTTTTTTAATACTCGTGATTATTTCAAAATAGCATTTGATCCTTACTCCCAAACAGTTATTGATGAACGGGTAAGTTTATTGATAGTGCCTTTACGTAACATATTTTACGGATTAAATTCATATTCTTTTACAGTTAAGAAGATCAGATCCTCGACTTCCCACAGCTCCATCTTCAGGAAACAGAAGTATGACGATGGACAAGTAAGGATTCAAGATTGACGAATTCAATAAATTAACAGTTTTGCAACTAACTCGATTCTTTATAGTTCATCAAACTTTCAAAGAGATGATAACGATCCGAACGATCAGGATAAGAAGTGCACGATTATGTAGGTATGTGTACGATATTCACATACTCAATCAAAAAAGAAATACTATGTTTTTTTCTTCTTTTTTTATCCTTTCATTACTTGGCGTTTAACTTGTCCTGTTGGAGGTTTCTTTAAAAGAATATACAACATAATACTTGTGGCTGCGGATAACGTATACCTGAATGGAAAAAATATCGTTATGTTACTTTATAATAATAAGATAAGAAATGATAAGAAAAGAAAAGGAAAAGGAAAAGGAAAAGGAAAAAAAAAAGAAGAGAAAAAAAAAGAAAAAAAGAAGACAAAAAAAAAGAGAGAAAAGGAAAGAAAAGACAAAAATAATAATAGCAAATTGAATGCGTCTGTCTTTGCTGGATAATATATTTTAGAAAAACATTTTTACCATGTGATTGCATATTGTAAATGCGTGTTTCGTAATTCCACATTTGGAATTTTTCCGACTGGGATACCATTTTGGATCAAATGATTCGTCAGAAATGGGGATCCTTCTATATATAACAAATTATAATAATCAGAGTATGGTTTTTTTTTCATTTATTTAATATTAAAATTGATCGAAACATACCCAAACTTTGTTCTATCATTACTGGTTGAGCTCCTGTTCTCTGAGCCATAGTATCAATATCTAGCCAACACCATTGGTTTTTTTCTGGGCTATTTTCTGGAACGAACCACGATTTCTAAATATGTAGTTATATTATTTACTTAATAAAGAAATTTATAAATTTATCTTAATTTTAAAACAAAAAAAAAAGTTATTTCATTTTACCTTTTCTGAACCTTTTAACAAACCTTCAATGATTACATTGTCCTTGATCTAAAAATTTGATTTGAAATAACGATTTAATGAAACTTAAATAATCAGTTTAAGGGATAACTTCAGGTATATACTTGTCCAGCCGGTCTCGTTGATGGATTAAGTTTTTCTTTCGAAATCCACCCCCTTTTAACCAAAACTGTGGTTCTATAGTAACAGAAATTTTCAGTCATGTGCAAAAGTTCTTCTTTAATTAAATGACAAAAACGAGTTAAAATATTCACCCATTTTCACGTTCAATTGGAGTGATAACATAATACCCAAGTTGATTATTGAATGTTCTTGGGCCCAAGTAAAGTTCTTGGTCATGACGGAAATGTCCCGAAGTCTTAACGCGTCTATATAAATAATCTTTCAAAACATCCAAACTAGAAGGGAAGAAACGAAACAAATACTTGGTGATGGAATGTATCAAGAAATGATTAAGAAAAAGGGGTTTAGATTTTTTTTTTTTTTACTCACTTTACTCTTTTTGGTAAATTAATAGGTGGTTTAGACAACTGATCCTCACATTCTTCAATTAATTTAACTTTCCAACGTAATCTTTGTATTTGCCAAGTACCCAAACCAAAAGATAATACGGGGAAAATGGCTAAAAAGATAGGATACGTGAGTTTTTGTGTCGAAGTAATATTAGTTGAAAAAGGTTTAACCCCTTGACACGGATTTGAACGGATAGAAAAAGGAAATGTTTGACGATAAGTGGGACGAGAAGAAACCCAAAACATCTCTTTAATAAAATGGAATTATTAAAAAAAAAAAAAAAAAATATTTTTAATTTAAAAAAAAAGATAAATCATCATCTCCCCATTTGTGGATTTTTGAACCGAATTTTGATTGGAACAATTTCGGAAAATATTTTGATTTGCCTGAAATTGTTTGGTACAATTTCATCTTTTTCCCCCTCCCTCCCCTACCAATAATAGTTAACATGTTCCTTGTCATCTATTCTTTAAAAGAATCATCCGTGGTAATTCAAGAGGTTGAATGGGAGTAATGGGTTGACAATTAGTTGAAAATAATATGATTAGAAGGAAAAGAATGTCCACGTTTCTCTCATCCCAATCCTTCCATTCATTTTGATTTCCTTTAAATGGGCATTCTGAGATGAACGACCTCGTGATCTTTTTTTTTTGATATTTTTGTTATTACTTTTGTCACGCGAATCCGTTTCAATTTTCGGGAAGCATATGTCTGGCGCAGCCTTATACGACGCAGAATAAAAAATAACAAAAGCGCTAAAAAAAAAAAAACTCTTCCCATTCCCCTTTTTATTTCCATGAATGAATTAGATAATAAAGATACGGAAAAAAAAAAGTATCATTTTTATTTGAAAAAAAAAAAAATAAATTTTTTTTTAATTAATTTGTACTTTTCCGTGCAAAACGTTTTAAATAAATATGAGAAGAAATGAGAAATGTTGATTTGATTTGTCTAAATGATCAACCAATCACGTTCTTAAAAGATGATAACATTTTTACATAAATTATCAAAATTATACTACTATTCTTTACTGGTTAATCGAATGGCTAAATTTATTTATATGAAACAATAAAAAAAAAAAAAATTTTTTTATCCCCATTCAAGAGGAATTAACATTTCCAAATATTTAGTTTTGTAAAACATAAAAAAAGCACGTTAAAAAAAATCTCACACAAAGTGCCTTAAATTATTAATCCAAATTTGTCAGCTTGATTTTTTTTTTCTTTTTTTTTCCTAAATACAGTATCTTCTTTTTTTCTTCATCTCCCATAAAAAAAAAAAAAATATAAAATTAAATATTTTTTTTTTTTTTTTCTTTTTTTCTTTTTTGCTCGCTCTCAAGGGCCTGGAGCGGTAAAAACGAAAAAAAAAACGGATCATTTTAAAAAGCCTCTTATGCTCTTTAACGGAAAAAAAGTGTTTGAGAATTAGTTTTAAACAACACTGCCATTAAGCAAAAAAAAAAAAAAAAAAAAAAATTTAAAAAACTCAAAAACTCCTTCGAAGGAATATATATATAAAAAAAAAAAATTAAAATAAAAAATAATTAAGTCCGGATATGTCATCAAATTACAACTACGATTTTAACCTTTCACATCTGGTGAACCTTGAGAACGTACCTGAAATGTCCACAGAGGACATCATGTCCGCAGAGGACAGAAATTCACAACTTGACTTTTGGATAAATGCCGAATTCCAGTACTACTCCCCAACCATCGATACAAAACTTGAAGATCAAGATAGTTCAGTCAATCAACCGATGATAATGCAAGATCTCTCACTTAATGATCAAACGCAACAATCTTTATACCCGCTTTTCGCTTTTTCGAATACGAACCCACTCTTGCAGTCCAATAATTTCGCCTCTTTATTCCCGACTGCTCCTATAGTTCCAGTTTCTATTCCAACCGTTGTAAATAATCCAATCATTTTACCAAAGGATGCTTCGTCAGAAAATACCTCGAGCGCAACTATATCAGAGATCATACCTGAAACAGCTAAAGTCATTACTAAAACTGCTGCCGTTGCTGATGTTTCAACTGATGCTACCCCCACCATCACCACAAAATCAAATCCTTCTACAAATGTTACCGCTTTGTCGGATTTGAATCCAAATCGTAAAAATTCATCGATGAAACCATCGAATTTAGAAATCGCTCAAGATGAACCCGCTAAAACAGAAGATAATGAAGGAAAGGTTGATCCTGAACTTTCCGCAAAGTTGGCTGCCGAGGAAGACAAAAGGAGGAGGAATACTGCAGCATCTGCTAGATTCCGTGTAAAGAAAAAGATGCGGGAACAAGCTCTTGAAAGAACCGCAAGGGAAATGACGGCTAAAGCCGAAACGCTTGAAAGCCGTGTAAGAGAACTTGAGATGGAAATCAAATGGTTGAGAAGTTTAATTGTAGAAAAAGATGCCAGGCTTTTAGATGTTGATCGACCAGGGAAAAAGCGAAAGAAGGATGAAAGCGATGATGAGGAGGAGGAGGTTAAAAAGGATGAAGTATCAGAGGCGAAACGGGAGAAACGGGAGCAGAGTGATCAAACCAACCAAAAGGAGTAACCATTTTCAAAAAAAGTGTTTTATGGGCTTTATTCGCATTTGCGTGAACAATCAAAGTCTAACTTTATTCGTTATCATTAATTAATGCATTATTGGTTTTTTTTTTTTTTTTCTCTTATTTTCGGAATATTGCTCTTACTTAATCCTATTGTATATCTTTTTTTTTTTTTTAATTATATAATACAAAGCCTTTTTTTGTCTGCGTTCTAACATAAAAGATAGGATAATTTGTTATACAAGCCTAATGATCAATAACGATGATTGTTAATTTTTAATCGTCCTAAATTCTTACGCGTAAAAGCGTAAATTTTTATAGATATGAATAATAAGGAAAGGAAAAAAAATATTTTTTTTGTTATTATTATGTAAAGAAAATAAGACCCAAAATCAATAAAATCTTTGTTGATCTTTTAATGATTCAATCACATTAATGTGTTTTGTCTCTTTAGTAAATAAAATAAAATAATTAATTATAACTTAACGTTGAAAATAAATAAATAAATAAAATAACTTAATTCCCTACTTGATCTCACATTCTCCATCTTTTAATTGCCTGGAAAATGTGTTGTTCATTCAACTTCTGACTACGCTTTAAATTTTCATAGAAAACAATATCCCAAGAACCACAATTCCCATCATTCACCTCGTCAAATTCAATCAATTCACGTGCCATATCTAACATACTTTGCATTCTGTCATTATTATTTAATTTTTGTTGACATTCCACAAAAGAGTTACTACAATAAGCTAAAGAAATATGGTCAATTCGTTTAGGACGAATATTGGAATCTAAATGGGAAATAAGTTGTACAAGTTGGTGTAATGGCTGACATACTTGTAACGAAATCAACAAACTTGCTGGTGAACAAATAATATCCTTCAATTGTATTGAGCCATTACTGATTTCATGTTTGTGAGATTCTAAAAAATGGTCAATTAATTCGATGATTTGATTTAATTTTCGTTGTATATCATCTTTCAAAATGAAAAATCCCGTCATTGAACAATGAGGAGGATATTGATGCGCCTCATTTGGTCCATATAACTTTAATGTTTGATCAAAATAATTTTGAATACTTTTATAGAATTTGCTTGTTTTTGAGGGTTCAAGATATAAAATATATGTCATGGTTGTAAGTAATGCTATGCAAAAAGTGAATCATCATTGATTTTTGATTCGCATCAGATGATTTGACCATGGCATGCGCGTAATTTAATGATGCAAATCTTTTTTATATTGAACGCGTTTTTTTTTAAAATAAAAAGGAACTGGTTTGGCAACAAACGTATTTCATATCAAAAAATTATTTTCCAATTACAAATTACATACATAAAATGCCAACACCTGGAAAGTCAAATATAAATTATTTTATTTTCTTAATGTTCGTTAATCCACTTTAATCCTTCATGGTTATCAATCTGTGTGGTTTTTCTATTTAGAACTTCCATTACTTTTTCTCGAACACCTATTTTAGACTTTCGATCCTTGAGAAAGAAATCGACAATCTCTTGTTGAGTCATGCTTACCGATCCTGCATCCGGTGTTTCACCAGTAACAACTTTTCGAATTTCTTCTTCAGTTGGTAGTGCAAACCTAGAATACGGATAATTCTCAAAAGACCGTATATTTAATAAATTCAAATGATGTTTTTCCGAAGATTCAAAATAAAAATTTTCTATTGCATCGTCAGATATATCTTCTAACTTTGAAGGATTCCAGACAGGTTTTCTTTTCTCAACAAGTCTTGCTGTTACTCCTTCGATGAAATCCGACCTTTCCTGTTTTTATCATTGTTGTTAGTTATTCTTATCCATAAATGTTGAAAACTTTTAATATGTAAACCTCACCAGAATTTTTTGAGCTAATTTATACTCCATTTTAAAACAATCCGTTATAACCATTTGCTTGCCCTTTCTTAATTCTTTTAAAGTAACCTTTTTAGATAAAGTTGAATTATTAATGAACGTTTACGTAAAGGAATAAAAATCTGCAAGTACAAACTAAATATGAATAACCAACTTTTAGACTTGTAGGCGACATTTTTGATAAAGTGTCTATTACGCTATTTGACCATGTCTTATCTTCTTCCTTAGATAACGCATCAATAATACTCTCCACTGTATTACTCTTAAAACACCTAAAATCCCAAAAATTGTCAAGTTACCGCTTCCCCTTCATAGTGATCATCGTAAAATTTTCTTACCGATCGATGGCTTTTCTAATATTCCCACCAAGAGCATAAATATGATTTTGTTCAGGCTCCGCTACAAAATCTTCAATGGCTGCATTTATCACCTCATGATCATCACTCTCTAGTTCACTCAAACGATCTTCCAAATGCGATAATCGATTTAAAGGGACGTAATGTGTCGCAATTCCAGACAAACTATAAGAATTGACAAGAATTATATATCGACGTCCGAGCATAATTTGAACAAAATAATAGATACAAACAACACGTACAAAACATCTATGCCACGTAGCCTTGCGCCGGTCAATGCTAGATAAGTTCCAACCTCTCCGTCCATTCTTGGTAAAAAGAAGGATCCACCAACGTCAGGGAAAAACCCGATATTAGTCTCTGGCATGGCAAATACCGTTTCTTCAGTAGCGACGCGAAATGGCGCGTGAACTGATAGACCAACGCCACCTCCCACTTTGTTAATTGTAATCAAGCAAAAGAAATAGAACAACTATGTGAATGTTTGGGTATTAGATCTTTGAGCCAATATTAATATATATTATATTAATGTCATTGACAAACAAGACATACTAGTAATGCCATTCATCAAGGCAACAAATGGTTTATCTATCGTGGCGATAAGATGATTAAGCTGGTACTCTTCTTCGAAAAACTGAAGGGCTCGAAGATCATCTTCACCATTCTTCTCTTTTGTCGCCAATTCTACAACACCTATACTCAAAACGTGTGAGTATTTTGAATTTGAGTTCAAAAAGAATATATTTATAATTACGTTTTACGTCGCCACCAGCACAAAACGCCTTTTCTCTAGCTTTAAGAATGATTACTTTACATAGATGGGATTCATTCCATGCCTACATCAAATCAAATTAATTTTGATACAACAAACGTTGATAAATCATTAAATACATTATATTTTTACAAACCTGTAATTGTGGTGTCATATTTCTAACCATGCTTAGATCCAATGCATTTAGAACATTTGGACGATTTAATATGAAAAAACGGCTACCAAATTTTCTTTTATGAAGGACGTCTGCCTGCATTAAATTCAAAAGAAATAAATTAATAAAATATAATATAATATCTTAAATAATTGAGCTCAAAGTCACCTGCGGCGGATCTGGCATAGTCTGAAGGTTCGTGCAAGAAGAGGAAGATATCTATTTTGGAATTATATTTTTAAACAGTAAACTTAATGAATTTAGGAATTCAATCTAAACCAAACGTTCGAACCGAGACTAACATGTTTTGAATGCTGGTAAGCAAAAGGACCGAAATTGTTTAATGCTGATTTACTACACGAGGCTTTACGAAAGATTAAAAAACTTGTGTATTTTTGAGACAACTTGTACCGACATTCTAAAACAAGTTGTCGCATTTTTTATTAATTTTTTTTGTGTAAAGCTTGCCTTTTTTTTTTTAAAAAAAAAAAAAGATATCAATTGTGATACGATAACACGTTTAGGATTAATCGATAAGAAACACTATATACAAAAAAATGGTGATTATATAGAGGTGTGATTGTATAAAGGTATAATTTTTTTTTAATTTTGGCATCATTTTATTTATATAATATGGGGCATGCTGTAACAAAACCAGACAAAGTGAACATTGGTATTGCCAGAATTGCAGGGATCAAAATTTAGTCATTATTGTCACAATTGTAATGTGATTATAATTTAACAGTCCCATTTGCTATCTTCCCTGTTTCTTATATTGCCAGGCATTTCCGTGATCTTTACAATTTGGCATTCACATTCGCTTCTTTTGTGTTAATGAGCTTGCTAATACAAGAGTTGATATCATTGTAACTATTTAAACATGTAAATATCTAAAATAAAACAATATAAATGAAAATAATATATTTAAAATTTAATGAATTGTAAGAATTTTTTTTAACTATTTTACTTGACACTGTGAATGTAACGATTAAAATCGTTACGGATAATATTTTTTATTTTTAATATTTATTGATTATTTGGAAAAATGTTTAATCGTTTGTGTAACTTTAGAGATTTTAATTATTTATTTATTTATACACAAAGAGTTAGGGCAATGACATATATTACCTAATATTTTAGGGGGTGGGGGTATATTAGAAGTAGCTGATGAATTTTACTCTATAACCAAAAAGTCCTGTGTTCTTGTTCCTTCTCTGTTCAAAAATTTCATTTGATGGACCATAATTTTGTTGTATAATCTTAATTGGTCACAAAGGTTTTTCTTTTTTATTTGAGAAATTTTGAAGTTTCTCTTAAAGAGGAAAATATACAGGGACATTCTCTTTAAGCCTTTACTCTTATTTTCGGAGTATAAAATAAATAATATACTTTTAGAAATTGAACAAAAAAATATCTAAATATCATATATTAGATAATATTTATGTAAAATATAATAAGTACAGTCAACTCTTGTTATAACAAACTCTATATTCTAGACCTCAACTCTGCTAGCAGGGGATCTTAGGTTACATATACTAATATTAATCACGTGATATCAGTGACTTAGATAATATATATAACTATAACTATTATATTATATTTTTATTGTATTACAGTTATTATATAACATAAAAAAAAATAGATCATTCTTTATCTGAAATGTATTCTCTTAAACTCGTTTCGTCAAGAAGAGGGCGCTTTTGTTGTAATGGAAGAAGAGAGAAATTGTTAAGGGTTCTTGAATTATGTTTTTTGGATTTTTACTTAGGTTATCCACAGCTGGTAAAATGCATAGTTCTTTTATGATTTGTCAAATAAGTAAAAGTTGAAAAGTACTTGTTGTATATAGAACAACAAAGACGTGAATAGGTTGTTTAATCAAGGGATAGGCAATGCGAATCATATCCAGAAATTTTCAAAAGATCATAATATTCAAGAAAATATATAGGATTAGTACAATATTTGTCTTTAGATTTTGTAACTGAAAGCAAAAAACCATTATTCAAAAGAAGGAAATCTGTGGCTTCTTTTACACGAAAAGGCCCACAATAGCTTGCATTAGTGCAATGTTTAATGTCAAAGGAATATTGACATAAGTTGCAATAATTTTTGATTCATGACCATGACACAAAACATTCCGGTAAGTCATTTCCTTTTTCTTGTTTCTTTTTTTGTTTTTTTTTGTTCCACTTTTTCTTTATCTGTACCTTCAAATTCTAGGTTTTTGAATGGATTAGTAAGCTCTTCGATATACTGTGCATTTACACTTCTTCCAAAAATCAAATCTCAATACCAAATTTTGCAAAGTTATTCTCTAGCATATCGAAAGTTTTGAAAGGCTAACTCTGGATCAATCACTTTACCTTGTGAATTTAAATGAGATCCAAAATGATCAATTGGTAGTATGATACCTGCTAATTTTTCAGACAGTGTTACCATTCCCTTTCAACAGGATTATATTTAGACTGTCCTGAAGCGTGTGTTCGTATAGTCAGGTAATCTAAATCAAATTTTTAAAAAAGTTGACAATAAGATTTAATGTTTTTTAAATGTCTTGGGTTCTCGTCCAGTTCTCCATCTACCAATAACACCCAAATAGGTTAAATTTCTCCATTTTTTTTTTAACACATCGTTATATTTAGGATCTAGGGTAAGGCTTTTGAGGTTTTACATGTGTGTGAATAAAGACATACCAAGGGACCATTGATAACGTACAAAAATAGTAAGTTGTTCCGTTTGTAAATCATCATTTGATTCATTTGGTTTTATCATAAGATAAACTGATAGAATTAATTTTTGCCTATTTCTAGAGGGAAATTATAATCGGCCACACTAACAGGCTCATGAACTGACTGCAATATGCGAAATATCTGACCTATGGCAGGTACTTCAAGTCCTATTTTTACCTTATTGTCTTGGGAAATAATGACAGAATTTTCAGCAAAGACGGTGACAAATTATCTTGCGCATTTAATAGATGTAAGACAATAATGACCATTAGAATGGTTTCATGTTTTAGTACATGAAACTTTAGTTATTGCGACTCATGCTGAATGATGATATGCTTATGCAGTAATGGAGTTGAATTAGTGAGGTAGCAGGTAATTTTTCAATGTTGTTCTCACCATATAAACATTGTAATTCTCTTCAAGATTTTTGCGCAAATCTTCAATGATTCGCACTTTAACCACTTCTTTTTGTCATCTTTTATCAGCTGCTCCAAATTTGATTGAATTGTGAATATGATTATATAAATCCAGATGTTCAAAAAGAAGTGAGGGACGACCAGGCTTATTATATATTACTATCTCCTTGTTCTCAATAAGTGTTTTTCTTTTCTTTTCTTTACACTTTTGAGTATATTCAGCATTTTTTTTAACTTAATAATTCTTTCTTTATTAGATTTGATTTCAGCTTGAAGACTCTCTATTTTTATATATGTATCATGCCGAAATTGAGAATCTATCATGATGTTGTATATCTGCTCAAATTCAGCAAGATTTTTTTCAGCTGTTATTATCTCACTTGCTATCCTTCTTTGTGCTGATGCATTGATGGAAATTTCTGATACAGAATCAATTGAACGAATCATAGAAAGAGTAGGAAGAGGAAGGGTCAAAGCTTTTCTAGGCATAGAAGGCCTTAGTCTCATTATTTGTATATCAGATAAATTATATGGTGTAGCCAGATAATTTCTAATAATATCTTTAATTTCCGCTTTACTTTTGTTTTTAATTTTATTCTATTCTTTTGTTGCTTTATCACAAATATCAGCGCAATTAGGGTACCATTTCCAGTTTTAACTATAATACTATATACATAAGTATTAAAAAATTTTTGGTACTTATTTGTTGGTGAATTATATTAATTTCTTATTAAACTTGGAGCTAACGAAGAAAGTTTAGTTTATTTTTGCATTAAAAATAGAATTATTACACGTTTATTTATAAAAAAGTTTTTATAATCAAATATGAAAGTTGAGCATGTTATAAAACTTTGCAGTAATTTGAATTTCTTTTTTTGTAGTGAAATAATTTCCCTCTATAGCAATTTAAGTTTTTTTTTTGTAATGAAAAAATGCGAAATAATTCCCTTTACAGCAATACGTAGCAAGATATGATCCTATAAAGAGAAGATCAGTATTATATTTTCTTTGATTTTGAATCTTTTAAATATATTTTTTTTTAATATAAAATAGATTATTATAATAAATTTTACTATTTTTTTATTATTTTTTATTATAATATATTTGATATGATATTTTACAACTGATAAAATATACTGATATATAATTTCTATAAAAGAAAATTGATTAATGTTCATGTGATTAAAATATCTTACCTGAGGGTGGGGGGTTAAGGCTTATAATAAGTGATATTAGATAATATATATCACTGCCCTTATATATTCAATTCTTTTTTTTAATGTTGATTAATGATGCTAAAGAACATTAATTCTTAATTATGTTTCTTTATAAGTTCTTCTAAAAAGTCCTGAAAAACATATGCTTTCTATATTTGTATCATAACAATATGTATTTTTATTATTATTTATATTATTTTAAATTAGTATAAATATAGAGATTTTAAGATCCATAAGTATTTTAACGAATGATTAATTTATTTAATTAAAATGTAATTATCTGATTGTTAATTAATTGTTAAGAAGTAGTTTAACTTCTGAAATTATATTTGACTTGTATTTGAAATAAATAAAAAATTATGTTTACAGTGAAATATGTTTCATTAATACAAAAAAATCAAATATTAACACACATAAGCATGCCTAACTACTAGTATTCCATAAAATTAACAAGCAAAGTATTTATTATTATGAATTCTGTTCAACTGATATAAAATAAAATAATAAGATAAATACAGTAGATGCATAATAAAATATCTTGTTAAAGAATAACGTCTTACGAATGAAGAATTCTTGTGTTTTTATTGATTTACATTTATTCTATACTCTGTTTTGAGCTTTTCTTGAAGTATCAAAACAAGTTAGAAGGTAAATCTTTGTTGATGGTGGTGTAACACATAGATCATTATCACATGATTTTTGAAGATCTTGAAGTGTATCTTCATTGTCGTTTTGTGATATCACCTTAATGACATTGTTAATGATTTTCTGTCAAGATAAAATTTGAATATTGATAAAATACTATTATTTTGTTTGTCATACAAGATATAAATACAATCTTTGCTTTTCACGTAAGTATGATCGTAGGAAGAGCTCTTGTACTAAACTCATCGACAGTTAATAGAACAGTTAGCTTTTTAGAATGAGATATTCGACAAATATACCCTGCAGGAGAGTCTAATGTGAACAGAAGTACAGAAAGCCCTAAAAAAATTGTCAAAATTAGTTGAAAGAATCAACTGTAAATAGTGTTTATAATATACATCAACAGTATACCTGAATGTATAAAACCAATAGTCATTAGATTTCTGACAATTTTTTCTCTTGATTTCACATGAGTACATAAGTCATTGAATTGATCCTTCATCATTTTTGGTATTTTTAATCCTCTATCATGTAAAATTTTTGTCCTATTATTACATTTAAATAAGTTTCTCGCTTTCCCGTAGCCAAACTCCATAGAATTGCGATGAATTATCAAATCTCCTCTTCTACCCATAATCTTCCTTTGTATGGAGTTAACTGAAATAACTGCACAGTTTCAATTCTTCTATGAAATTGACGTAAGACTGCAAATTTCTCCACTGTTGTAAGGAAATTGATCAATAATTAAATTTATATAAATAACAGGATAGTGTAATACACTATCTTACCTTTCCACTTCTACACCTTCTATATTTTCAAACACTCTATCTATAAATGACCATATGTGTAATATCAACTATGTCTCTGAGTGATTCTTCTTTAAACTATTTGCTTTATATTTGCAAAACTTGTATAAAAACAAAAATGATTAATATTTAAGGTTGTCCTTTTAAATTAGAATGAGATTTTGTACTTATAGGTTTTCAACAGTATTTCTAATCTAATTCCAATCAAAATCCCTCTGTCGATTGTAAGATAATTTTCATAGTTCTGAACTGAATATCAATGCTTTAAGGTCAGAAATTGTGGACTATTCAAATATGTTATAGTAAAAAGAAGTTACTGATAATTTGTAAACGATGATATTAAGATATAACATAGAAAATATATACAGCTTTGAATTTACTAAGATACAACAATAAATCTTGAGGCATATCCAGAAGTAATTTCTGTTTATGCATATGAATTTTCTCGAGCTCAGATTTGGTAAAGACCTTTTCATTAATGAGACTTCTGTTATCTGGATCAACAATAAAAAAATGGTAGAGACTTTTGATATGTCAATATCTTAAATGACAAATGACAAGATTCAATAATTAACACTTATTGCTCCTGAGTACATCTCATGTCAAATTTGTATAATTCGTCTTCAACAATTTTTCCTGTTGTCAATGCCCATTTTTTGCTATTGTCCATTATTTGATATATGTTCACAAACTTACTAAAATCCTCAGCTGACATTTGTATTTTCTCGCTGTTTATTGCATTAGTTGTTAAATTGACTTGAACTTTGTTTTCATCAGTCTTTATTTGTATCATATCCAAAAATAGGGAAAGGTAAGATAATATTTTTGTATTATATGTGAGCTGTGTTCTGAATTAACCTTCTTGACCTCTTTAGAAAAAATTGAACCTGTACTATTAAGAGTATGTTTGGACGTTGATAATATGTCAATCTGAGAATTCTTCTGAAGAGAGTTCTTTAACATTACATTTTTCAGCTTTATCTAATAAACTAAGATTTCCAAGAATGTGTGTATATTTTACTGCCATCTATTTTGCATGATGGTTCAAGTTGGTAACATTTTGGCAAGAATAAAAGACAGTAATATATAAGACTTATCTTCTTCCATTTATGAATTATACTCTCTCAATAGGCCTGCATCTCATTTTTCAAATGTTCAGAATCCATCTTTGCAGGAAGCATATTTAGGAAATGTAAAATTTGGTAATAATAAAAAAGTAAAAGTTAATTATAAAACAATACAATGACAAGTTAAATAGCAACTCTAAGCAGTTGAGATGCAAGTTTGCAATGGTGAGGATTCAAAATGTAGATTGATATTCTTGAGTCAGAACGTAGACTGATTAGAGTGTTACCACCATCACTTAGGTCAGAATGTTGACTGATACTCCTGATTAGAATGTAGATTGACCAGGAGCTCCCTTGATTAAATAAAAGAAAATATTACTTTAATCTTTAAAGTTCCAAAATCTTTTAGATTGAGATTTTTTGCTTTTTTTAAAAATCTATGACACTAGGCACTATTGAGGCTGTTCTACTCATCAGAAAAAGATGGTACAGAAATAATAACATCACAGTAAAGAATTAAAAACTTATAGTATAACCAGTTTGTGTGTTTGTTTATGTAAGATAAAAGAGCTGAAAAGGTTAGAAAAAGATAATTCAGATTGCAAATTGAGTCACGTATGGGACTTACCAAAATAACTAGGGTAATATTTATTTAAAGACATATTTGTAAATTTATGCCTGAAGTAAAGTTAAAGAAAATAGTAGAAAAAGTTGAATTCAAACTTAATATTATACTTATTATAGTGGGAATCTGAGAATCAATACTGTGTAAAAATTGAGAAGTTGTGTTAAGGAAAGTGTAACAGAAGTTTAATTTTATTGGTGACAGAAATTTGTAATACCTAGTACTAGAGGTTAAATAATTTAATGAAGCTAATTTAGGATTACACGTAAAGTCAAAGCTTGTTAAATGTATAGTTTAGATTTGACATAATAATAGAGAATTTTATGCATTTATCGAATCATGCAATTATCTTTTATTTCATAATAGGAAATATATGATTTGTAGAGATTTTTTCTATAAAAAGATAAGATCTTCAATAATCTAATATAAATAATGAAAAAAAAACTAATTTTTTTATGACGAAATCATTTATAGTTGATTGCTTCATATTGTCAAAATAGAATTTAAATAAATGGGAATGAAAATTTTGAAAAACAGATAAAGTATTTAAGTTATAAAAAAAATTTGAGGATGGGTTTTTAAGAAATGTTAACTTGTATTTTAATTGTTACATGAGATATAGATTAAACAAGTAAGATTTTTATATGATAACACATAATAAGAATAAGGAAATCATGATTTTATTTATTACAAATTCACAAATTTAATTCTATTCTATCCACTTCATTTACTACCATAAGATTAATCTTAAAATCTCTTCAATTTTAAAATAAATAAAAACCTACAAAGTAAATAGAAATTATACAATTATATATATAGGGATAAGTATATATGAAAAGTAATAATAATATAGATCACAAATTGAAATGGTTAACAGTATATATAAAGTTAATTCTTATCTTTAACCATTAACTGTTAATATATTCTACATTAACCTTTTAAATAAAAAATTAAAATTAAATATAATATGTTAAAATAATAAATTAAATAAAAAATCTTACTTAATTAAAATAAGCTTCTATTTCATTTCAAAAGATATTGAATTCTTTACTTTTAAAATTATTATTAATTTATAAATCAATAATTACTAATAGATTTTCAAATATAAATATTATTTGTAATCAGTTTTTAATTTCTTTACTAATAATATTTGATATTATGAAAGCATTATCAGTCAAATCATAATATAAGATGCAAAGTATATCTAAAGAAACTTATTGATAAAAGAATATTTTAAAGTAATAATAAATTAATTATATAATTAAATAAAATATTTATAAGTTCTTTTAATCAATATCTTATTTAATACATTTTTTTTCATTTGATAAGTAATGTACTTTAACAAAATTTTTTGAATTATTATCATTATACATATACTTTCTATTTCTATTTATAGATCTGCTAATAATAAAACTTTTTATATATAATTAGAATACCAGAATAATTTTTCTGATGATATTGATAAATAGTGATAGAAAAGTTAAGTTGCAAATTTTTAATGTAATAATATTTTTGCATTAGATCAGATAAAATATATTTTTCAAGATTAAAGAATTTATAATTATTTTTATTTAACAAAAAATCTGATAGTTCCTGATATTTAGTATTAATTTCTGAAAATCTTTTAATAGTATATACTTGCAAAATCTTGACTTAGATTTCAAATTATTAAATTACTAATATAACAAATATTTATTTTATTATTAACTTTTTGTAAATATTTTGCATATTATTTAATTATACTTGTAGTTCAAATACTTTCAAAATAAAATCTACCCATTTTATTTTACTTATCTATAGTTGACTAATTAAGAGTTCTAATAATTCTATCAATTATTCAAATTTCTCTTATTAAAATGACTCCTTTTTATAATGTCTAATATAATAAAAAGTATTATAATATTTTGTTACATTAATATAGATTTAGGTTTTAAAAGTAATTAGAAGATATAATAAACAAACATTTAGTATATTATGGTATGAATCAATATATCATAGAATATTTATAAGTCACTTAATAAATATTTTTTGCAATTTGCTTCTGATTTTCTCTTCAACCAACATTTTGATTTTTTTTTAATAATATTAAAATATCATTATATAAAACATCTTATTGAGTATCTTCTCTTTTGATTGATAAAAAGTATGACTTACAGTAATTTTTTATCATAATGTTAAACACATTTCTTTTCAATTATTAAACTTGTTGAATTGTATTGTTTTTCTTCAATTTGTATAATAAAATATATATATTTTAATTTTAATTCTAATATTAAAGAAATATTATTATACAATCTTTTTCTGAGATAATTCTACTTGTTATCTCCTTTCTTAACATAAACCTTTATATTATGTTCATCAAAAATGCCTTCATAAATTTCACTAAATATACATGTATTTTTAATAACATTAATAATTTGTTAACTAATTACCATTTTTTTGACCTTCATTAATACTAACAAAAAAATGCATATTGTCAGCTGAATGAAATTATAAGCTTATTTTTTAAAAAAGTATGATTTTTTATATTCATTTTTACATGTATTACTTGTTTATAATTAAATATAATTTATCACAGTAGTATTTTTCTATATTAAACTTTAAACTTGTTCATCATGCAATATTGTTCTATAATTGACATTTTGTTATGTAATATTTTTCTATGATTAAACATTATTAAAACTTAATTTTATTTGTTACATAATTATTGAATATTTATTATATAATTAATTTTGAAACTTTATGATAAATTTTTTATCATGTCTTGTATAAATTGATCTAATACTCAACTTTGTGTATATAAATATAATTGTATAAAGTATAAATAAATGAGTATATTTAATATTTTAAAAATAGTGATATATATATATAAATATATAATAATAAAGATGAGGGATTATAAATCTTCTAGTTAGTCTAACCTTAAAATCAATCAACCAATCATATAAAAGTTCTTTTTAATGATCTGAATAATCAGTTACAATTGTTTTAATATTATATATTTCTCCTTGCATTCTCTTTCTATTATTCAGAATGTTAGGCATATTATAAACTGTATATCTTCATTACTTTGTATACTCACAATTCTTTTTTTCAGGCAAAGCATACAAAAAATATTTTATATATTTCCAAATAGATTCTCAACATTGGAATCTTATAGATTTTGATGTATAGGCCTTTACAAATTTACAAATTCTTAAATTAAAAGTATTTATTAAGTCTTAACAAATTTTTGAACACTATTTTCTAAGAGAAAACGTCTACAGAAGATGAAATAAAACATGCCTGATGTCTTTTAGCTATAAAGAAGGTCAGTATTGGATTTTTGTTAAACTAAATAGGAATCATTTTGCAACTCTCACTAAGTGCATCTCAATAGAGAAAATGAGTCTTAGCAAATTAGCTATATTAGAAACTTGCTTTAATTGTGTACTGAGATAGATATATCTTCTAATCATTTATTGCTCTTCACTAACTGCAGATCAGAAAGAGTAGACAAGCAAAAATCTTTAAACAACTTTACTATCTATTTTATATTTCATTATGTATGTTAAACTGATTACCTTCATGTATTAGTATTATTACCAAAAAGGATACTAAAATGCAAAGCATCTTTAAAGCAATTTAGCTATTTTAACCATAGTTCAATGTAGATCAGTGCTAAGATGATCAAAAAGTTGAAAATATACAGTATTCAAGTAATTAATATAAAGATTTATTTATTACAATAATATATACTAAATATATAATAATACTTATTTGTTATTACTATTTTTGCAGAGAATCAGATTAAATTACTAGAGATATCACTTTACAGACTGCAATTGTATAAGATAATTGAGATTAGAAATGGGGTTTTTCATTTTGCTTTATCCTCTATAGGAGAGTACATGGGTATTTAAAGCTTCTCACATACTACATGGTATATTTGTTTAATCTGTATGTTTAAACTTGAATAATTGCTAACTTTATACATGCTTAAGATAAATTAATTAAATATTATAATGTTATGCAGAGTAATCTAATGAGATTAACAGAGTGAAAAAACTAAGTTCAGAAAGCTTAAAGGCCTAGTGGATGAAGGAATGAGCAAATTATATATAATGTAAAGAGCATATTTTGTTTACAGACATATTATTAAATAAATAATTTGCTAATTTCACTAAAATAAGGTCAATTATGTGATATCATAAATGGCCACTTGATGTCGTGAAAGTACTTTGCAAGCTTTAGAAAATAGCGAATTAAGTGAAAAAAAATTTGCCATGCAT